CGCCTCTCTAAGCTACTTTGCTTTGGGAGTGCCATCTGCCCAGACTAAGGTCTGTTTTACTTTCCAACTTGTCCGGTGTGTTCCTTCCTGGGTGTTCTTCGCTGCAGTCAGCTCCTCAGAGCATTTGGTAAGGCCCTCGGTCTTACATTGTCTCTATTATTTGGGGGTGAGGGAGTAGTCAGATTCATTGCAGAGGTCTTTTTGGGGGCTTTTATATGGGGACTTGTCCTTCTAGATGTGACTGCCCTGATCTGTTTACAAACCATAGAGGAAGGTCTAATAATTTAAGATATGCTCTATTTAAAATGAAACAAATTCATTAAAGAGGAGTTTGTTCTCATGCCTCTGCTGCTTTCATTACTGGCAAGGACAGGTGACTATTTCTAATTGGTTAGTGTGAGCCAGAGAACGCCTGGCATCATCAAAATACCGCCACGTGAGTCAGGGAGTCCGGAGGTAAACAGATTCAAGACCTGGTGCCTTTGCAGTCTTCTTTATAGGCTATTTCCATCCGGTTTTGAGGCTGCAGTTTCTTCCTCTGGGAAATGGGTGGGAGTGGACTAGGTGATCCCTAGGGATCTGCTGGTTTTCACTATCCCAGGGGGCTGTGATGCTCTGCTGCACTAATCAACATGTATTGTGAAAGCAGCATTAAGAGCCCAGAGCACAGAAGCACATTTTAACAAGCAATGATTTAATCTCAGTGGTTTCCATCTGTGGAGGGTCTGGGCAAGAAAAAGAGGTTTCTGAGACTTGTGATCCAGGAAAGGCTGGGGTCTCCTCGTATGGACTAGGACTGCACCCACTGCTGGCATGAGTTGATTTAAGCTCAGTGAACCATTGCTGAACCTAACTGGGGGATTATGAAGGACAGGCTTTCCTTAAGGTTCAGCCTTAAGGTTCAGTGGGACAAAGAGGAAATTAAATATCACAAATTAGTAACAACAGCTAACCGTTACTATCAGCTTTTACTGGTACCCATCAAACTTTAATACTGTAATGGTTTTCAGATTTTACATCCATAGGCTTACTGTAGGTTTCCCAGGAGGTTAAGGGAAAGTCTGAAAATTTACATTTGTAATAAATTTCCAAGTAATGCAGATCAGGGACCATATTTTGAGAATCATTGTGAATTTCATTTAATTATAAGATTTGCAAGGCAAATATTGTTATGTCCAATTCACAAATGAACAGGAGTGCCCACGGTCTTGTGGCTCATGACTGGGAATAAAGATTTAAATTCAGTTCTGATGCTAAATCTTATTCTTGTCCCACTCCAAAGAGATATGTGTGTGTGTGTGTGTGTGCGTGTGCGCGCGCGTGTATGCAAGTAGGTGTGTGATTTATTTGTAATATATGAATATAAGTATTTTTCTCTAGCCATCCAGACTCACTCATATACAATATTTCTGAATCCGGAAGAAAGTCACCATTATAATCTTTAGGTGACGGAATTATGAATGTTCTAAATTATT